CCCTCTCTCTCTCTCTCTCTCTCTCTCTCTCTCTCTCTCTCTCTCTCTCTCTCTCTCGGTTTAATTAATAATACGCGTCGAGGGGAGGGGAGAAAGAGCGCGAGAACCGAGAACAGCCAGCAGGGAACGAAAACAATGCCTAAATAAGCGGTGTCGAGTCGAAAGAAGCGAAAAATAGGACGCGCCGCGTCCCTGAGCGTTGCGAGCGCGAAGGAGGAGAGGAAAAAAAGGAACGGAAAACGACTCGAGTTGCGCGCGGTTCGCTTCACACCGGACGTGACGTCATCGCGCGCCCACAGTCGCTCGGCTCGAGCATTCGTTTCCGCTACGATGCCAGCCGCGCGAACCGATCGTTCCGAGATCCTTCGGGATTCTTCGTAATTCCCTGATTCGTTTTATATTTTTTTTTTTTAAATATCGAATAACAATTGTTTCGAAGAAACAGTTTAACGATTGCTCGTTCGATTCGAGAACAATCCTTGAGCGATGTCACGATAGGAGGAATGCGAAGTGAGAATGCGAGGGCGCGAAAGAAAGACGAAGAAGAAACGGTGGTATAACGCGTTTAAAAAGACACGGTCGCTCACAGGTTGACCTTGGCCGGTTGCGTCACTCGCGCGTTTTTTGTATTCGGTGCTCGATCGACTGATTTCCATTATCATAATTACAAGGTGGGTAGGTGGCTCGCGACCACGAGAGGAGAAGACCACGAGAAACACGGCAGGATATGGCTCTTCTGCAATCTGTCCATCTCCCACGTCTCGGAATTCCACACGACCGTCAACCTTCCCTCGATCGCGACGTAACGCGCGAAAACTACCATAAACGGGCAGATGTATCTCGCCCGGACGGAAGGACGGTCGTCACCGGCGGCTATGAAAAATGACGCCGTTTCTCTAGGAAAACAGCTTGGAATAGAGAATTGGCTCGAATCGTTCGGCGCTTCCGTGTGTGGGACGATATAGCTCGGTCACGAACCACGAGTGGCTGCGAGCGCCATCTAGCGTTTCGATCGGTTCGCGCGGTCGATAAGTGATCGAGCCGGCAACGAGATTTTTTTTTTCGAAGTAAAAAAAAAAAAAAATCATCGTTTTCGATTCCTTTTTTTCCACTGCGGGAACCACTACGGCATAAAAATGTAGGGAATGGAACTTACCTTGCGTCGCCAGCTCTGCGGCGCGAAACAGAACAAAAAACAGACACCATTAGATACAGATGCTGATCGAAGCCGTTACTTAGTAAGTAAATATAAAGGGAGGGACAAGCTTCTCGGCCTCTCGAAGTGCGAACGATTCGAGGGACGACGAGGCGTTTGATCGCTACGGAAAACGAAACACAGTCTCCCCTTTGTGCGATCGCGTAACACGGTTACACTGGAGCGCGATAGCGCGAACGCGTTCCAGGTTTTTTGCGTCTACGGACGAACCGACGTCCGGGATCGGCCTACTCTTTCGCTACTCTTTTCGAACGGCGGCGCCGGCTCTCCTCGCGTAATCGCGTTCCCGATCCGTTCCGTGGCGTGTGCTACGTGCTCTTCCACGGCTCCCTCTCCTCTTTCCTTCCTCCTCGTTCGCCCGGCGCGTGGAAAACGAGAGCGTCGTTTTTTTCACCCTGCGCGAAACGCGATACGGTTTCTCGAAAGGAAGCGAAGTATCTGTCTCGGTCGGTATCGCAGTTGCTCGGAGGCGAAAAAAACACGATGGATTCGATATGTATTATTTATCAACGCATATGATGGATGGTCGTTCTTCCTTGGGAAGAATCGCGGCTCGAAAGGGCGAACCAGGTGTCGAGATGTTCCTATCAGTTATTGGACTCGTCGTTATTCATGTATCGTTCGTGAATGCGTCGTAATCTATCGTCGGGGGAGGATGTTAGATACGGGATGTTCACTCACCTGGAAATGTAGTATGATGGTCCATATCAAACCTAGGGTCAACTTTGGGTTTCCATCCACGATGTCCTCGGCACGTATATTGACGAGTTTGATTTTCTTATAACGTAAAAAGTCAAGAGCCATCTGCACGTTTTGCAGCATGTGGAAACGCATCCGACCTCGTTCTCGCGGCTAAAAAAAAAAAATATCGCGTTTAAAATCGTCCATGGGATCGTCATTGCCATTAACGCTCGTGGATGCGATTAAGTATTATCCAACTGTTTTATCCAATCGATCTCTTCTCCCTTTTCGATTCGATTCTATCCGCGTTTGAAAAAAAAATCCATACGTATATATATATATATATGTACGCATAGCGATGGGTTTGAGCGGATCTTTCCTTAATCGAACCAAGTTAGCCCCACCCTCCCGATTCTTGTGTAATTTTCACCCTGCTTCAACTGACGTTCGAGCGGACAACAGAGCGCCAATTGTCCGTCTCGAGGGAATACTTACAAGATGCTCGCCCGAGAGAACCTCCAGCAAGGAAATGAGGTTGTACCCGTCCCGCAGGTCTTCGAACAAATCTCCGACATGTCTGCTGGCCTGCAACAACGATTTCACGCATCAGAGCACTGGTAAATCGCTTCCTTGTTCAAGTGTCTGCCCGACAATTCGTCAACTGGATGAAAATAAAAAACAGGCGATCGAATCGATCGAAACAGACCGGGGGAGGGGAGGGGAGGGGAGTGGAGAGAGAAATAATTGACTACCCAACTATAAAATGGGGGATGAACAGAAAGACACGGAAGGGACGAACATCGAACGAACACAAAACAACAACTCTACGAACGTGCACGAGAAAAACATAAACGTAACAAAAAAAAAAAAAAAAATGAACGTAAAAGGATAAGGATAGGTATTTTTCGAAAAGGACGAACGACAATGCAAACGTGGCAATCGTAATCCTCAGGAAATTAAGGCTTATTTTCCGTGATAAATCTTCGGAGAAAATTTAATCATCGATAACTGCGTCGCTTTTTTTTTTTTTTTACGATTCGCAACGTTTGCACTCGTTGCGATCCATCGTTCATCGAAATTCTTTTAAGGTAAAAAATGGGAGGAAAGGGGGATGGATATAGCATTTGCCATCGCTCGAAGACCACGTGTGAGATAAGGAAATGTTATGTTTAAGAAAAAAAAACGTTTCGTCAGCTTCTTCTTCTTCTTCTTTCTTCGACACATGGCGTCATTTGATTCTTTCCGTGGCCAGCTGCGACAATGACGTAACGTAGGGATAAAATTCCTGGATATTGGCCGAGCGATGACAAATGTATACGAGACATATAATGTCCCGTTTCGATTCAGGGGTTACTTCACTTCAGTTACTTGGAAGTGGTTAGATCGATTCCGTATATACGTTCTTTGGACATGGAGCATGCGAAAAAAAAAAGAAAATAATCCATTCTAGCATTGGCAATCGTTAACGACACCTGCCGTGAACTTACAGTGGGGGAACAGCATGGTTGATTGTTGACAAGGACGCACACGTGCAGGCACGTGTAAGTCTGAAAAAAACATGGATTGAGAAAGGATCACGCGTCACGTCGAATTATTGCGATTAATGCGATTTCTCGCGATCGAAAAGTAGGGGAAGATTCACCGCGTTATAATTACAGCGTGATCGAATCTATCCCGCCGCTACTCGTCGATCGCACGGACGAGTGGGTCCTCGAGTTGCAGAGAGGAGGAGTCCTCATGCGAGAATGAGCAGAGGCAAAGGTAAGGGGTGAGTTCCCCTTTGAGGGCGAGGACTTGCGCTGGATGATCCTTAATCCGCGCGTCAATGCGTCAAAGAACGTGATAAAGGCGTACGACGATTGAAAAGGAAATGCTCGAACTGACGAATTTCACAATATGATGATTTCCAATCTTCGAGCATCCTTTTTTCACAACTCGTGCGCAGCGATTAAAAACGTTAGTAACGCTCACGTTCAGTAACGCCCAGTGAAACGATTCTTCTATTAAGCCGTGACTAAGTTAAAAATAATGCAATGGAATTTTTTTCATCGTTAATCGAGGCGATACTTATCGAGTTAAGTAAATGCACTGCGTAATTAAAACTTAGTCAACGACGGTAATATTTTTTCGAACGAATGGACGAAGAGAGGAAGCTCGTTAAACGAGGTTTTTTTTCTTCTTTTTTTTCTCTCGCATGAGCAAGATTTGCTCAAGATTCTTTCCTCTACGTTTCAAAACGTATATGCTATCGACGTTCAACGTTTAACGATCATCCGATAATCCAAGATAACAAAACACGCGCGAACCACTCGTCCGATTCGCGATGGACTCGTTCGAACGAGAATACCGGTGTGTTGATTCATACCTTGACGTATTTCCAATGCTGCGGGGCCGAGTGTGCGTGAAAAAACGATTGAAACCGTGTAATTATGAATTTTCATCCTTCTGATTCAGATTCTTAATTTAACCGCGCTTTTATCGAACGATTCTTGACGCGCGAGAACAATCGATCCGTTGTCGTGGGCGGAAACGTCGCGATAAACGATATCATCTATCGCGCTTTCCACCGCTATTTTCCAGAGAACGGAGAAGAAACAGAGATGGTGGAATTCTCTCGTTCGCTCGGGAAGGGACAACGACCGATCGTCCAAGAGGAGGCGATGAAAAAAAAAACAAAAAACACAGTCGACGGACGTTGGTGCGCGATCATCGATCGATCGTGGAAAAAAAAACCAACGAATATCGAGAGAGAAACGTTTCTCGCTTCTTCTTTTGAAAAACGAACGAATCGATCCTCTAAAGGAGAGTGTCTTCTCTTTATTATTATTCAACGGATCGGAATTCATGGACGAAACGAGTTACTTCAGCGGACCATTTCCTGCCGCGGACGAACGGTTACGCAACGGCAGCCCGGTGCGTCATGGCGAGGCTCTCATGCACTCGCTCCTCGAGCGGTTATTTCTCTTTTTTTCTTTTCTTTCTTTCTCGTTTCCCTTCGACTCGAACGCTGATTAACTAACTGACTGACTGACTGACTGACTGACTGGATGGCTGTATCTGCGTACCTGACTACCTACTTAACTACCTACTTCTTACAAGAGGTGGTAAATCGGGAACGTGGCGCGCGGAGAACGCTTCCGAATAAGGTGAGAGTTACGAGAGGAAAGGTGGGCGCGCGCGGGAGCAGGTAGGCAGAGCCAAGAGAGCCAGTGGCGAGCGACGCGCAAACACGCAGTACCGTTCGCCGTATTACCCTGGAATTCATTATCGACGCGAGCTCGGCCGATTTAAAAAACGAACGAGTCGACGAAATGAAGAAACGCGTTCGTTCGTTCGTTCGTTCGTCTCTGCGCTCACTGGGATGGAAATAAGAAGTTTGGCATCGTAGGAACAGGGTAATCTTATCTCGGACAAAGCCATTACTTTTTTTCCCTTGTTGTTGGTTCGAGAACCGTGTATACGAGTGAAGGAGACAGACAGAGAGAGAGAGAAAGAGAGAGATTCGAATGAAGGTGACACGTACAATACATTCGAGAGCAGGTAAAACAGAGTATAAACTTTCACTTCGAAAAACGGCTCTCGAAAAGGCTTTTGCCTTCGAACGTGTTCGCGCTATCCGAAGGAAAGGGTGAATAATGGTAGCGTCTCCCGGGTAGGCGCCTGGTATATCGGCAGCGGGGTCGAGGAGCTCCTAGCTCTAACATAGAAAGAAAATAAGGCTCGATAACCCTCGAAATACCGATCGAGTTATACCAGCCACTTACGAACGCTTCTTCAACCTTGCCCCGCCTCTCCTCCGCTTTTCTTCGCTCTCCTTTGCCTTCGCGACGTCCAACGTAACGAGAAAGCAACGCGGAGAATGTATCGTTCCTCGATTTATCATCGCGCTCTCTCTCTCTCTCTGCTTCATCCTCTCTTCTTCCTCCTCATCCCTTTCCAACAATCATTCGTTCGACAAACTCGATTCTAAATTTTCTTTCCTCTTTTTTCTCTCCTTTTCGAAAGGGAAGAAGAAAAAGAAGAAGAAGAAGCTGCGTCATTCGCGAGAAGAAACGAGAAGAGTCACGTGAGATCAAGGCTAGCGCGTCTCGAGTTGCAAGGATTGTTCGCGGTCGCGTGGCGTGTCGTCGGCGTCGGCGTCGTGGACGTCGTCGCCGTGGTCACCCGTGGTCGTGATGGTGGTGGTGATGATGTTCGGGGGTCATTGGCATGTTGTGATCTCAGCGTCAGAATCGGCGGCTGCTACTGGCATCGATGGAATCGCCGTTCGAATAGACGCGCAGCCATCGCCGCAGGCGGTTCGTTTTTTTCCACGCGCCGCCATGGAATGCGCACAGTGGCGTTGGAGAAACAGTGGCGGCGTTTGTTCTCGACCCATGCGCGACCAATGGACGGGGAATCCGTTCGAATCTCGTTAATCGTTCGTGTAAGGAAAAAAAGAATACAGGGAGTCGAGAATGAAGTTTCCGATCCGAAAAGGGGGAAGAAACGAAAGGTGAAACTCGTCGCGCGTGAAGTATATATATACATTGGATTTTCTCGATTTCACCCACTCGGTTTCCTCGATACGTTACCTTCTATAGCAACGCGTGAAATACCCTCCTGGAAGGGATTACGACGGTCGGCCCACGCGCACAGCCTACGTGGGAAAAGAGACGGGTGCAGGACATGCATGACACACGCATATACGTGTGTATATATATATATATACATATATATAAGCATATGTGCGTGTATATAGGTATATACCGAGGGGCGAACGAGAAGGTCCCCTATCGTTTACGTATGTGGTTACGAAACAGCTGGTTGTCCAGGCGTTGCGCGTCGCTGCTCTCGTATGCTCACCTATCAGGTGTTTCGATATACTCTCTCGCCTCGACTCCACCAGCCGTGGCCTCCCGCTAAGGCCACCGCTCTAAAATTAGTTCGTATCGTTCGATATTTCGAAGGAAGGGCCACGGGTTAACTCCACTTCTCTTCCTTTCCGTTCCCTCCTATATAATTCGATTTCAACCTTTTTTTTCCCCTCCTTTAGCGTGGATCAGATACAAAGAATAAAGGATCGATGCGAGAAACGTTCGTTTCAGAAGTTTGAGCGTGAATCAACCGTGTATGCGCGTTGAAAGAAAAAAGGAAAGGAAACACTTTCCTACGAATCGAGTAGGAATCGCTTACCTTTTTCAGATGCTTGTTCACCCATTTGGTAAATGTTTTCTTTTGTATCGCGTCTCGTTCGTCTGAAATCACAAAGAGGAGAAACAATTCGTTAGAAAATTTGATCGCTACGATCCGATGGCGACACTTATACATCTCGTTATCATCCTCGTTTTCCTCCCCTTCCCCCTCCTTAACGCCTCGTTATCGTTGTTGCTCTACCGATTTTCCTTTCCATTTCCGCGTTGCGTGGATAATTAATTAGAACGAATTTCCATTTTATCACGATCGTGAATCGATCCACCCACGCAAACAGGCATTAGGCACGAAGGCAGCGAGCGATCAAAGCAAGCGGATAGACGGACAGGCAGACGGACAGGTAGGTGGTCGGGATAGGTAGGTAACTAGGTAGGTAGGTAGGTAGGTAGGTAGGTAGGTAGGTAGGTAGGTAGATAGGTAGGTAAGTAGGTAGATAGGTAGGTAGATAGATAGGTATATGGATGGGTAGGTTGATACGTAGGCAGATATTAGGAAAAGAGCAGTGGATCGTGCAAGAAAACAAGCAAACACGCGAAAAACTTTGCCTTTGAATCGCCGAAAAAACTCTTAAAAAATCTTTAAACACCTTGAAGCGGCGAACGTGAACGAAGCAAAGGTGAAACGCGTTGATATCACCCTCGTGTCCGATATATCCATTCCCTTTCCCCCGTACCGCTTCTACCGTAATCCGACTTGGCAACCATACGACATCCGTCGGCCGTCCGCGTTAAACGAAACAGACGGCGAAGTTCGACGACACGAGACTCGATCGCGGGATGATTAATCGAGTAGGAAGGTTTTTCTTTGCCCGCTTCAAACAGCGCAATAACGGTTAATTACGACCGATTATCCGATTCTATCCAGCTGTTAAAGCTCTCGTTCGTGAATTGGTTATCTGGTGAACTTGTCTCGAAGATCAATAGAAATTAATAAGACCATCCTCTTGGTCGAGGCACTCTATTATATATATATATATACGTTCGCGCGAAAGGTTATAAAATATATCGAAAATAGTAATAAAAAAAAATAGAATAAGATATTTGAAATAATGGTGGCATTAGTCAACGCGAAAACCGAGTCGGGGCTCGGTGATTTGCCTAACGTCGTGGCGCCGACGTCACGAGATAAGAAAGACAAGCCATTTGCATCGTTTTACTTACGACGCTTTTATTTAAACGTCCGTGTAATGTGTACAGCCGCGCATGCACGGCGGTATCTCGTTCGTACTTTGGTTACGAATTGCCAAAGCACGTATATATATATATATATATATATATAT